TCCTACCAAACTATTGGAAGACTTTACTAATTTTCTTAAATAAAATATTAATAAATCCAATGATGGAGCCTCTTTAAGACGGGACACTAGTTTCCATGAATACTCCTGAGGTGAGAAAATTATTTTAAATTGCTACCAAACTATTGGAGTAAATTTAGGATTAATTTTCAATATTAAATATTTTGGTAAATTATAAACATATTTAAGGCTTGGATAATTTGAAATCAAATTGGTACCATCCTTTGAATAGACATTGTGAAGGTGCTGTAACCTTCTTCACATATAACCATATTCTAGAACCTAAAATTTGGTTTCGTAGATCAAAGTCTACTGTTTAAATATACCTAAGTTAATCTTGGAATTCTTTTTTGAATAGGACAGACTCGATCAGATGGCCAATCACACATAAACCAAAAAGATTAGTGACGACTCTTCTAATTTATGTCTAGCGGTAGGTCCACAGATTTATATGTTATGACAATATATTTACATTTTTTGAATTTATCTATTAACTTGTTTTATTTTTTTTTTTTAATTTTGCATGAGTTATTGTAGTATTTCTTGACTAAGGTCAACAAAAGGTAGCCTTATCTTACAAGCTTTATCATTCATATTTCAAGGTTCCCACTTCTCAGTTACACATAATTGTACGGATAATAGCCTTCATTTGTTTCAGCTATGTTATCAAAGATGGATACATAATGGGGGTAGCTGTCTTTATTGAGATTTTTTACCCCTTAAAAATATATTATAAAAATATCAAAAAAAATTATTTCTTTTATAATGTTCATATTGAAAATAAAAATAAATATATATGATACGTATAAAAAGTCAAGATGTATTAATGAGAAGTGATGGATATTTGAATAAAAAATATTTTAAAGTTATTATATAGAAAAAAAAACAAGTGAATTGATTGAAAAAACCTCTTCCTTCCCCATTTATAACTTTTACTTTTTCAAAATAAGAAAGCAAAATCAATTTTTACAAGGAAAACTAAAGAAGGAAACTAAAGAAATTAAAAGAGGGAAAAGAAAGTCCCCAAACTAAAAAGAAGTTATAAGTTGATTATCTTTTTCTTCTAACATGATATTTAAGTAAATAATTTTTTTTATATATTTTTATAATTAGTCAAAAGTTAATGGATAGAGTGTTTATTTACTTTTTAAATTTTGTTATATTTATGAAATAATTTGATTATATTCTTGATAGCATGCATATTTTTTTTATCATGTTTGAGTTTTTTATGATTATATTTTTCTTTATTTTTTAGTTATTATTCATTTAGCTAAATTAACTTTAAGTTTGGCAAAAATTAATTTTTATATGGAGATTATAAAACTAGTTAGAAGTACTATCCAATTTCTTGCATGGCAGTATGTTTACAATATGTGAATTGCATTTCTACTCATATATTTCATAGATAGAGTTGGTTGATCTTCATTACCATGCATAATTATATTTTGAATATGTCTTTTTATTTTTTATAAATTACAAAAACTAAACTATTTAACGTATATAGTTATAGAGAAATATCTTATTAAAAGGAAGCCAAATTTTAAAGAATCATCTAGAATTAATACTAGTGGCACACAACATTGTTCAAGCAAGTTCGTGTTGACTTAAACTTAGATGAGCTTCCTTTGAATGCCGGGTTATGAAAAAAAAAATTTGGACTATAACGCTAATGATAGAAACAAGGTTCGAAGAACTTATTTGCAAAAAGGTCCATGTTAACCTTATGAACATAATTTTTCTCAAAGAAAAATTGGAAAGGCATTACGTCATTTTATTCCTAAATGGTTCAAAGATTATGCTAATTTGTTGAAATATAGTATAGAGAAAAATGATGCTTTTTGTTTATGTTGTTATTTTTATAAAACAAATATTGGTGAGCAAGTAGGTGGTGATTATCTTGTTTCACATGGATTCAAAATTGGAAAAAGAAAGAAAGATTTGATATTCATGTTAGGGGTCCTAATAGTGCTTATAACAAAGCTTGGAAGTGTTGTCAAGATTTGCTAAATCAAAAGTAGCATATTCAATTTGCTTTTGCAAAACAATTCGATCAAGCACGAAAAGATTATTGAGTTCACTTAATTGCGACATTTAATTGTATTCGTTTTCTTTTATGTTAAGGTTTGGCATTTCGTAATAGAGATGAAATTGAGAATTCTCACAATCAAGGAAAATTTTTTTGAGCTTCTTAGATTTATTGCCAATCATAATGAAACATCAATGGTGTTGTCTTAAAGAATTCACTGAGAAATTCAAAAGTGATAGCACATGATATTCAAAAATATCTTATTCATATCGCAACAATTAAGATTACCAATACTATCATGAAAGATCTTGAAAATGGATTATTTTTCATTTTACTTGATGAATCTTGTGATGTTTCAATCAAATAACAAGCTTCTATTGCTTTGTGTTATGTGGATTCTAAAAGGCATGTTATTGAACATACTTTGGGTATAATACATGTCAATGATATAATTGCTTTGTCACTTAAAGCAGTTATTGAAACATTATTCTCTAAGCATAATTTGAGTATGTCAAGGATTCATGGGCAAGGTTATGATGGAGCAAACAACTTACAAGGTGAATTCAATGGATTAAAAACTTTGATCATGAAAGATAATGCATCTGCTAGTTATGTTTATTGTTTTGCTCATCAACTTCAATTGACACTTATAGCTATGGCAAAAAATCATGTTCAAACTGCATTACTTTTCAACATTGTAACAAATGTAGTGAATATTGTTGGGGCTTCATGTAAATGAAGAGATGTCCTTTCAGAAAAACAACTTGATAAAGTTGTCGAGACATTACGAGTCGGTGAACTTTCTATGGGAAAGGGTTTAAATCAATAAATAAGTCTTTAACAAGCTGGGGATATACAATGGTGTTCACATTATGGGACTTTGATAAATTTGATCCTTATGTTTACTTCAATTATTGATGTGTTTGAAATTGTTGTGAAGGATGGGAATAGCTCAGAACAAATAAGTAAAGCTTCTACTTTATTAGATTTAACACAATCTTTTTATTTTGTTTTCAACTTGCATTTGATAAAAAATATCTTAGGAATTACAAATGAATTGTCCTTGTCATTTCAAAGGCGAGATCAAGATATTGTGAATGCAATGGCATTAGTAAAAGTAATAAAGCAATGGCTATAAACAATGAGAGATGATGGATGAGAATTTTTACACAAGGAGGTTTCTTTATTTTGTGAAAAAAACAATATTGACATCTCAAATATGGATGATATGTTTGTAACTCGTGGAAGACCTTGATGCAATGCTCAAACAATGACAAATTTACATTATTATTAGATTGAGTTGTTTTACATAGTAATTGATATGTAACTTTAAGAGCTCAACAATCGTTTTAATAAGGTGAATAAGGAGTTATTTCTTTATGACTTCTTTAAATCCTTATGATTCTTTTGCAGCTTTTGCTAAGAAAAAGTTGATTCATCTTGCTCAGTTGTATCCAATTGAATTTTCTAATGTGGAGCTTCTAGTTCTTGACAATCAACTTGAAAATCACATTGTTGATTTAAGATCTCATGATGAGCTTACAAGCTTGAAAGGTATTAGTTACCTTTCCATGAAACTTGTCAAGACAAAGAAACATTTTGTGTATCCATTGGTATTCTTACTTCTAAAATTAGCTTTGACATTACTAATTTCTATTGCATTAGTTGAAAGAGTTTTTTCTGCTATGAAAATTATGAAGAACCACTTGTGCAATCAAATGAAAATTTCTTGATGAATGATTGTTTGGTTACATATATAGAGAAACATATATTTTGTAATAATGATAATAAAAAGATTTTACAATGCTTTCAAGATATGAAAACTCTAAAAGAACAATTGTAATATGTTATTTTTATGTATACATAAAGAAGTTTTTTTATGTATTTTAGGTTATTTATATATATTTAGTATTATATATATTTTTGTCCTCACTAAGTATAAATCTTGAATCCATCCTTATATATTACAATGCATTGAAGATAATATCCCATGGAAGCTTGGTCGATAAGAAGCATATTGCTAAAGATCAAGCACAATAAAATTAGGTTATGCAATTATTTTTTAAAAAATAATATTTAATAAATTTAAAATTTAAATTTTAATACTTATAATTTCTTCTCTTATCAACTTATCTTTACTTTACGACTTCTTATATATATATATATATATATATATATATAAATCAAGTCAACCTTGAGTTTCATAACAGGGCGCATCAGACTCGACATCTTTTTATTATCCCTATCCCCGGTAAAAATATATTTTCTCTTTTGCTTTGTTCTGTTTTATGGTACTCTCAATGTCCTTTATAGCAAGATTATTCCTTCTTGGTTAAATAAAATTTTACTTATCCAAAAAAAAAAAAAAACTCATTATCCTTTACGCCTTCCTTGCATTTTTTGTAGCTGCATATCTCTCCAATTGCCCTTTCTTCTCCATCACCATAGAGATGATACTTAATCTTCCGAACCCTTCTGTCTATCCTCTATTTATTTCTTCTTACTCAAACCTACACAACGTTTTCTTGCCTAGGATCCTCTGTCTCTTGCTGTTCCAACCATATTGACCAAAGTACTTGACTACAAATTAATTTAATTAGTTAACTCGAGGACATTGATATAATGGGTTAAATTATATACTACATACTTCTTCATTGCCTTCATTTAGGTATCAACAAACTAGAAATTATGCATTTAAGCATCTCACAAGTTTGGAATTTGAGTCTCATCGCGTGACAAAATCATCAAAAAATTATAAAAAGCTAAATATCGAACAAGAAACAAGGAGTTACAAAAACGTCTATTAGCTTGACAATTATGTAGCTTACAAACCCAAAATGTCCTCATTTGAAAAAAAGAAAAACAAGACCCTGGCATCTAATTAATTGACACGAAACATGAGACCAGAAGCAAAGCAAGTATATGTGTATGTGACATGTATGTTTTAAAGATGAATTCAACAAGAATTGAATGATAAAGTGAGAGGAAGATGATGATGATGATGGTGGTGGTGATGATGGTTGGACTCTTTTTCTATCCGCCACTTGAGATTAAGAAAATCGTCAGTCGAACATGGCAGCCTTAAAAGCCCCGTCGTGTGATAGCCGTACACCTCATGAGCCTTGTCCAAAAGGCGCTTGAAAAGTGGATGGTAAAGGTAGGATATTGGAATCACAAACCGCTGAAACCCTTCATCTTCCTCCAATCCAACCTCAACGGCAAGCCATCCCTTCTTCACCTTCGCCTTCTTGTCCTCCTGCATGATAGTATGTGTCTTCTTTCCAATTACCAATTTCGAACTCTTTCTAGACAACTTCAACAGCTGCTTCAAAACTGAGGCTTACAAGTGCTGATATTTATTTCAGTGGGGGGAGCATTTAGGGGTCAAATAAATAAATAAATAAAAGAGAAATATGCGGTCATAGTAGTTTATGCGTAACCAGGATGAAGTGGGGTTTTCCTTTTCCATGATGTTGTTCCGTTCATTCCTTTTTGAGAGCGACTTCTCCAGGAACCCCCATGTTTTTCTCTTGAAAGATGTGCCCCTTCAGTGTTGGATTTGCACAAATTATAACTGCATTAGTTATAGACAATAGAGTAATTAGTGTATGTTTGAAATTAATCTGAAATCCTTTTGATTACTAAAGTTTGAAAATGTTTGTGGAACAGCTAGTAAATAATTAACACCACGAAACCTAGATATTTCTTAACAAAAGTAACGTGGAAATTAGGAGGAGGATTATTTATGGCTGGACCCCACATATTGAATTCCAGGGCTTCTAACTGCATAGTGGGAGCGTTATGCTGTTATTATCCATAGGTAGAACAAAGAAAATAAAAAAAGAAAAAATCCGTCAATGATAAACTTCGAAGTGCCAATCAAGTGGGTTAGGTAAAGAGGTTTGAGTCGGATAATTTTTAACAAAAAAACAAAAGAATTAGAATGGGTTGGGGGTTCAGATAATTTTTAGTTATGTAATTTTAATTTGTATATTTTAGATAAAAGTCTTTTAATATTTCAATTAAAAGTTTTAAAATTTAAAATTAAATAAATTTAATATTAAATTAATCGGATGAATTGTTTAGATTTGGATTTTTTAAATCAAGTTAATTTGTTTTAGCTATGGATTAGATTAATTCAAGCATTTGATTGTTTTTTTTTTTTTATCAAATGATATTGGATGAAGTCTGAGTTTGAACACGTTTATTGAATCGATTTTACTAACTCTAAATTCCATCTCTCTTTTTGCACTTTTTGGTACATCTAAAGTGCATCGGAAGCATATTTAAAATTTCAATTTATATCTTTATAATTCAATGATAGATTTAAAATTTTTTTGGAGTGTCCATTTATTAAGCGTTGGGTGTTAAAGGACTATGAACTGTGATTGGGCATTGAATAAGGATAGTTAATGAAGTTAATAGAGAATTAAAAAAGAGATACTTAAAAAAAATTTCGAGGATATTTAAAAAACGTGGAGATGTCCAAAAAAAAAAAAAATCCTTTAAATTTTCTTATTTTTCTAACTTTAAGGATATCTATGTGACCGTACCCTTATATTTGCATACAGTACTCTTGTAATTAAGAGAGGTAACATATAAAGAGATTGAGGGAGCATACTTAAGATTTCGATTTATCTCTCTCTAAGACAGGTAACAACTCTTAAGTCAAGTTTTGATTTTTATTAATTAATAAAAAATAAATTCATTTTTAATAACACAGAAGTTTTTTGTCAATAAAATTACCATCGTCATGTAATACCAAGAATTTGACTATTCAACTTTGGTTTCAACATATTTAGTTTTCAATCATTTGTTTCAACATATTATTGTCTTTATGTATGAATGATTTTTTTCAGTTCAATATAAGGGTCGTAATTATAAAATTACATAATTATTTTTATTTTCCATTCTTCGGTCACATTAGATCCAATACTTTTTTTTTTTTTTTATATATAGACTTTCTTTTTAATTTTACATAAGTAAGAACATTTATATATTTTAAAATATAAAAGTTAGCTCATATTTTATAAAAAAGTTGTTGTATTATTCCGTTGTATTCAAAAAAATCCATAATAAAAATTACTTTGTAGAGAAATATAATTTTATGAAACGAGATGTTCTATTTAGAGAATAATACATGTTTTCCTATGATCGCAACTTTATTCTTTTTCATTTTCAAAGTTGCAATTGTAATAAATATATATATATATATATATATATATATATATATTGGAAAACCCAAACAAACCATCACGTATAAACAATGCACATATACTGAAAATATCAAACTGATTAATAATATAAAAGAATAATATTAACAATAAACAAATTATGTATTTAGTGAATACCTAGAATTTTCGTACATATATAAAGCACTAATGGATTACAAAATGTTTGAAATAATTATTTGCAAAATAAAAGATTAAAATAATTAAAGGATGAAGTAGGGATTAATAAAGGATTAAAAAAAAGTTAACGAGTTAAATAATTATAATTTAAAAGGTTATAAGTCGAGCAATCATCAGGCTCATATGGCGCCTTCACAAGCCATAACAAAAAATACACATAATAAAGGGGATTAGTCTTGAATTTGAGAATTATTTTAAATGATTAATCGTTTTTAAAAAGAATAGATAATTGTAAAATTAATATTCAAATTCAAACATTCATAATTTTTTTTATTTTTCTTGAGCTTTGAGATTTTCTATAAAAAAAATACTTAAAGGAGTTTCGATTTAAGAGTGTAAATGATATATTAGTACACATAAATTATTTTAATTCGATTTGAATAAAATTTTAATTTAACTCAATTATTATCGAATCGAATTCGAATTTGAATAATTCGACTTATCAATCAAGTCGAATTTAAATATTTTTATACTTAATTCGAGTAACTTACGAATTTAATTGAATTGTTATATTTTAATATATTTTTATTATTTTAATTAATAAAATATTTTAAACTCGAACTTAAAATTAAATATAAATAATTGAGATTTTATTGAATTTAAAAATTAAATTTATTTTTACATATTAATCAAATATAATTAAATAAATTAAAATAATTTAATTTTTATTTCGAATCAAATTCTTGATTAATTATATCTCTATTTGGACTTACCACCCAAGCGGAAATGATGCCGACCAAATAATCTTACTCCTCAGAATCTAGGTGCCACGTATATTTTCATGGATATGCATTGTCGCATATATTAATTTATTTCCTAAAATTTCCACTTTATATTTTCCCCTCATTCCCTTGTCTCTTGCTTTTGTGTTCCACGACGTGTACATCTTTGATTACTGTATCAAATTGGCAAAATTATTGCTTTTGATTAATTTAGTGATGATCATGTTGACTAAGTCAAAAGTTGTGTACAATCGTGCATACCCATTTGGATTAATTAATAGTTTAAACAAAAGTTTTATTTTTATATGATAAATTTTTTATTTAAAAAAATGAAAAGTAAAATCGTGTCGGTACAAAGTACATAATCCGATTATATTATACAGCAACTCCAGGTCAAAGTTGAATTCTTAGTCATCATCAGTACGGACGCCTTTTTTGCCCAAATGCCCCATGATAAATTGAATGTGGCCTGCAATTTGGCTTTTAAATAAATTCCAAGCGGTGGACATATCTTCTAAGCATATCCAGAGACGAATTACAAAAGTTAAGAACATATTATTTATAATAATTATATTATAATTAATCAATCAGATTTTAAAATTATATAGAGTTTACTTTTATAAATAGTAAATTCTTATATAATTTTTAATTATGATTAAATAATTATAATTGAAATACTTCCCAATATCAAAGTTTCTATGAATTCCTACCTTAGCAAGAAAACCCACAAAATGATTAGCCTCCCAAAATCCGTGAGCAAAATAAATTTCCCTAACCCTTGCAAATAGATTATACATTTAGTAAGTTAATATATTTTCCAGGGCTGTCATTGACTTCGTCAAGTCAAGATGTAACAACTTTGGAATTACTTTCAATAATGATATGAGGACGAAGATCAATCTTTGCTTTAACCATAATGATGATTACTTAAATAATAGTCAAAAGCTCTGCCAAGTACTCCAATATTCTTCAGTGCTCTCCCTTTGCAGTCATGGATGACACCTCCAACACCAGCAGAACCGGGCTTATCAATTGCTGAACCATCAACATTAATTTTTCAAGCACCTTCAACGGCAGGAGACCATACATCATTCTTTCTACTTTGTTTCTTATGGGAAGGGATTGTAAAGTCTTGAATGCTTGATAAGAAGTTTAAGGGCGACAGGTTTAAAGTTGGAAATTTAGCTTTCATCCACCATCTGAGCCTAGCGGAAATCAGACTGAAGATTGATCAAACAACATGCTGGTTCTTCTTTGACAATGAGGTAGTTCCTTGACTCGAATAAACTCTTTAGAGACCTTGCTATAACTCATGAAATACACCATTGTAGCAACTACTACAACAAATTTTATTATTAGTGGTGCATTGAATAATGCCACTAAGTATTTATTTTTCGTCACCCTATATATTCCATGACAAAAATTAAACGTCACAACATTCTTCGCATTTGTATCATCTCTAAAGGTTTAATGTGACAATAGTAAAATATCATCACCTATTATGAATTTATCTTGATAATAAAATAGAACATCACCTTATATATATATTTATGTTAGTTTTCGTCCGTTATTTATGAAAAAAAAATGTAATTAAAGGCAATAATCGTCACAAAAACATGAAAAATTCGATATATTATGGACGAAAGGTAAATCATCACAATATTAGTGACAAAATGTCGTCACCAATTATTGTAAAATAATATCTACCATGACAATAAAATCATGCGTCACCTTATGCTTTAATTTTTGTGACGTTAGTTTTTGTCGACTATTTATACATAAAAACGTCATTAAAAGTTATAATCGTCAAAAAATAAATGATAAATCTGATATATTAGTGACGAAAGGTAAATTGTCACAATATTGGTGACACAATTATCATCACAAATGATTATAAGATCTTGCTAAACATGATAATAAAATCAAACATCACCTCATACTTTCTTTTATGATGTTAGTTTTCATCAGCTATTTATAAAGAACAATGTCATTGAAGGTTATAATCGTCACAAAATAAATGATACAATTTGATATATTAATGACAAAAAGTAAATCGTCACAGTATTGGTAACATAATTATCGTCACAAATGATTGTAAGATATCGTTAAACGTGACAATAAAATCAAAC